AAAACCAAGTAGGCGAGCATGAGAAAAATGCTTGTTCTTCGAAAGGAAATGGGGCGACTTGTGTTTCTTGGGGCCCTCTTGGGGCGTATCTTGGGTGCCTTTTGGGGCGTCTTGACAGCTTCGGAGGCCGCCTGGAGGCCATCGTGGGCGTCCAGGGGCTCTATTTCGGCGAATCGTGGCCCCCTGGGACCGTCTGGGGAGCGTTTTGGTGCCTTCTTGGCCAGTTTTGGAGCCCTCCGCTCCCCCGTGGCGCGTTCGGTCCGGGGTCGGGCTCGGCCAGGGGGGCGGGCCAAATTGCCGGTTTGGGATCTCTGGGGGGATTATGGGGGGCGATAGTCTCGCACGCCTAGAGACCAGATTGCGAAGGCCTTACTGCCGGTGCCGCCGACCCTGAAGACGACGAATATGAAAACGAGGGTGAGAAGGAGCAGGAGCAGGAGCAGGACGAGGAGGAGGAGGAGGAGGAGGAGGAGGAGGAGGAGGAGGAGGAGGAGGCCTCCGGGGCGGAGTCGTATCTGACCTAGAGATCAGATTTTAAGAACAGGCCTCTCGGCCCGCCAGCCCTGCATACCGCGGCCGCCTGATCCCCAGGCTCCCGATAATCCCCGGTGGTCCCGCCCCCCCCCCGCCCTGCATACCGTGGCCGCCAGATCCCCAGGCTCTCGATACTCCCTGGTGGTCCCGCCGCCCCCCGCCCTCCATATCGCGGCCGCCAGATCCCCAGGCTCTCGATAATCCCTGGTGGTCCCGCCGCCCCCCGCCCTCCGTGGCCGCCAGATCCCCAGGCTCTCGATAATCCATGGTGGTCCCGCTCCCCCCCGTCCTGCATACCGTGGCCGCCAGATCCCCAGGCTCTCGATAATCCCTGGTGGTCCCGCCCCCCCCCGCCCTGCATACCGCGGCCGCCAGATCCCCAGGCTCTCGATAATCCCTGGTGGTCCGCCCTCTCCCCCGCCCTGCATACCGCGGCCGTCAGATCCCCAGGCTCCGCATAACCTCTGGTGGTCCCGCCCCTCGCTCCGACTCGCCCACTTTGCATACTGCGGCCGCCAGATCCCATTGTCCCCCGATAATCTCTTAGGATGTCGCCCCCCGCGCCGACTCGCCCATTCTGCATACCGCGGCCGCCAGATCCCCAGGTCCCCCACAGAACAGAGCATAGCACCACACCACCGATCACAACATATCGGAACATGCCATGCAACTGGTCATACCATATCATGACATACCATATCGTAACATAACACGCCATGACAGATCAGTATATACCATACCACATCATCATAGCACGTCTCATTCCGTATCATGACAAATCAATCATACCATAGCAAATGCATGCAGACCTGATCATACCAAACCATACCAGGTCACACCATCACATAGCATGATAACATGTCATAACACAACATTGCATACCAATTCTTGCGATGGCATAACATAACATACGATACCATAACATATCATGCCATACCATGCCATAACATAACATCCCATCATATACCATGACACAACAAACCACACCACAACGCAGCATCGCAGCACACACCATTCCATACCATGCCACAGCATAACATGACAGAGCGTGGCATACGATGCTGTAGTATAACAAACATCGCATTGCAAACAACTATAAGCTATGACATACTTGGCCACACAGAAAATAGCAGAACACCACACTTCACAACACAACATGACAGAGAACATATGACACACCATGGCAGAACAAGGAGCGCGCGCACATATGGGATCAAACGCCGAAGGTTTCGGTAGGGATTGCTCGAAATATCTTAATTTCCATTGTGTTGCTTTGCCTTCCTTTGTGTTGCTTTGCGTTGCTTCGCATGGCATTGCTTCGCGTTGCTGTGCTTTGCTTTGCGCTGCTTTGCGATGCTGTGATTTGCTTTTCGTTGCTTTGCGTTGCTTCGCATATAGTTGTTATCGTCATCGGCTGCACAATACATATTTGCACCACATAGCTTCTCATTTCGAAAGGAGTAGTAGGATCTACGCCCCCACGGACTTAACCTCTCATTCACGTAATTTACGTATGATTCTACCTCATCAGCCAAACTGGTAACCCCTCCTCATTTTTAGGAAAAAATGCACTCACACTCGCTCATCACCCTCAGCAGTGTCCATGAATCCCTTGAAAAGAGTGGGACGAAGCGCATGCGCGCGTCGTCGCGCGCCCATGCCGAAATCCTTCAAAAACCTTGAGTTTCGCACGGATTTCACAATGGAGTGTCCCGAGAGCAAGAAAACATGCGCGCGTGCTGTCGCGAGGGTACCTTGCAAAAAACGGGACGGAGTGCACGCGCGCGTCGTCGCGCGCGCATGCGGAAATCTGCGAAATAAAAACCTTAGGTTTCGCAGGGATGTCATAATCGAGTGTCCAGAAAACATATAAAACCACATGGTTTGACACATGAGTTTTCAAAAAAGCCTGCGCTCGCGCTCCTGCCAGCTTTTACCAAGCCATATGGATTTCAACATTTTCATAACATTCTGCCAAACGCGCCTCTCGCGCGCATGTAGAAGTCATCCGGACGCCCTTGCGCGCGTGCTGGGTGTGCTCGATCCGTGTCAAATAATACCATGTAGGCTACTCTCGTGCGTCGGCCGCGCGCGCATGTCGAATTCCTTCCCTTCCAAAACCTTCACCACCGACGCGGGGATGCCGTCATCGTCGTCGGCGTGATCAGCATCGGCGCCGTCGCTGGCCTTGCCGTCGTCGCTGGAATCATCGTCGCCATCATCGCTACGACCATCTTCGTGTCTACCGTTGTCCACGTTGCCATGATACCGCGCCCGCCCAAGTCGCCGACTCGCACTGAAGTGCCCGCTGGGACGTGCCCAGCGGTCAGCGCCACCGCGGCCGCGTCGGTCGCGCCAAACCAGCTGGCCGCCTCGCGCTCGAGCATGCGCGCTAGCGCGGCCGCGGCGATGCGCCAGCCAGCGCCGAGCAATCATCGCAATCGCAGCCGCATTGGTTTTGCAAACCAAGTTGCGGGTGGGTGGGTGGGATGCCTGCACGAGCAGTGGGGCTGACAGCTTCAAAGTTCGGCAGGGTGGAGTGCATCACATGCATTGCACAATATATATTGCTTCGCGTAGACTGCACCACGTAGAAAACACCACATGTATTGCACCACGTAGATTCGCTAGAAACACAATGCGGGGTCCACGCAACTTGATTCAAAACTTTTGACCAATATGAAATGAAAAGTCCTCCGCGTGCGTTCTTCAATGCTCCTGTCCGAGACTTCGGAGCGAGCTGTCTTACGTCTTCGGTTAAGTTTCGGGTGTCAAAGATAAGGCATTCGGGTGTGAGGGTGTGGGGGTGGTATGAAAGTTTGAGGGTTCAGGTGTTAGGGCTAGGATTGGGGTGGTAGGGTTTGGGAAATTCTAAACGACCGACTCCGCATGGTGTGGTGGGCCTGCACCATGTCGTGGCACGCCTGCGATATTTCGTGGTGCGCAGGGAAGATTTCCAGGTTCACCAGGAACAGAAATTGGATTCGCTGGGCGGAACGTCCTGGTTCTCCATGCGTGAATCTCCTGGCTCGCTGGCTTCGGATATTTTGTTTTCCGGTCGACCGATTTGGGGCCTTCGCCGAAGGTGGCGCCCCCTCTCCGCGATTTCCGTGAAGCGCGGAGGGAGCACCCGAGGGGCCTACCTTCTCCTCTTCCTCTTCTTCCTCCTCCTCCTCCTCCTCTTCCTCTCTCTTGCTTCTCCTCCTCCTCTTCCTCCTCCTCCTCCCTCCCCTCCTCCTCCTCCTCCTCCTCCTCCTCCTCCTTTTCCTCCTCCTTCGCCTCCTCCTCCTCCTCCTTGTCCTCCTCCTTTTCGTCCTCCTCTCCCCTCCCCCTCCCACCTCCACCTCTCTCTTCCTCCTCCTTCTCCTCCTCCTCCTCCTCCTCCTCCTCCTCCTCCTCCTCCTCCTCCTCCTCCTCCCCCCAGTCCCCCCAGTGAAAGAAGGCAGGCAGTCTGGCGAGTGACCCGCCGACTTCGGGTGCTTTTCGGCCCCAGGTTTTTGCTTGTCCTTTCACCCGCGGAGTCGCGAACATGACGGTGCTCCGAGGGAGGCGCCCCATGCTCCAGGATGGTGGCGCGAGGGCGCCAAGAGAACCGCACGTCTCGCATCGGACCCGAAGAGCGGCCAGCCAGCCGCGGCATCGGCCCCGAGGGACGGCGCGCCAGAGGCTGCTGCGGAGGAGCTGCGCGCGCGGACCGCCGCAGAAGAGGGGGCCGCCGCCTGTTCCCCTCTTCGCCTGATGGGCCGATTTTCCACCACCACTACCATAGGTAGGAGGAGGAGGAGGAGGGGAGGAGGAGGAGGAGGAGGAGGAGGAGGAGGAGGAGGAGGAGGAGGAGGAGGAGGAGGAGGAGGAGGAGGAGGAGGAGGAGGAGGAGGAGGAGGAGGAGGGAGGGAGGAGGAGGAGGGAGGAGGAGAGGAGGAGGAGGAGGAGAGAGGAGGAGGAGTAGGAGTAGGAGTAGGAGGAGGAGGAGGAGGAGGAGGAGGGAGGAGGAGGAGGAGGAGGAGGAGGAGAGGCGGGAGGGGAGGAGGCGGAGGAGGCGGAGGAGGAGGGGAAGCAGGAGGAGGAGGAGGAGGAGGAGGAGGAGGAGGAGGAGGAGGAGGAGGAAGTGGAGGGGGAGGAGGAAAAGGAGGAGGAGGAAGAGGAGGAGGAGGAGGAGGAAGAGGAGGAGGAGGAGGGGGACCTCCAAATGGTAGCGGGGGTGGAACATCGGCCCATCATTGCCCCCCTCATTCCCTACTCCCCCTGCTACCCTGCTCCTCGCTTGATTCTCTGATTGCCTCGTCCTGCTGCCTCTTCTCCCCCCAGACTGCCGCAGCCAAGGACCGTGGCGCTGGTCTGGCATATATGTGAGGAGCTTGACTCCCACCATCGAGAACGACCGAGCCCAACCTCTTTCCCCTTCCTCTCTGGGCCCCTCCCCCTTGTGTTTCCTTTCCTCCCCGTCCACCTCCTTCTCCCATGAGTTGCACTTCCTTGGAGGTTAACTTCAACAGCGGCGTTGGTCCTAATCTGGTCCATTTCCTAATCTGGTCCGACTTCCTACTTCCTTGGTCGAATACTGTGTCCTCATCTGGCCGACTTCCGTTTTATCCAGCTGAATCCTTGGTAAACTTGCCTGGTCTTGTGCTTGATCGAGCTTGAAAAAGCCAGAGGGCACGATAATATGACCTGATCCTCTTGTGCCGTTTTTGCGACCTTTTGAGCACTGTCTGGCGTCACCTGAGCCCCCCGAGGCTCCTCGTGGCTCTCTCGGCGGTCTTTGAGGGTGCTTGGGCCACTATGGTGCAGCGTTGGGGTCCTCTACTTGGGCACTCCAAATGCCATCTCGAGCCGAAACGCGGGGGAAGCAACACGTTCTCAACAGCTGCAGTGCTCTCTAGTGTTCTTGGTTTCTGGGCCACACCTTTTGGGCCCCCTCTTGGGGCAGCCTGGGGCCTCGTGGATCGTCGTGAGGTCTTCTGGGCCGTCTTGGAAGCCATCTTGGGTCTCTTAAAGGCCCTGGGGACCGCCAGACAGGCGCCCGGGCCGTCCAAGAAGCCTCGTGGGGGGGTGATGCGCCGCGACTAGGTGTTACACGAGGGGGGCCCCAGAGGAATTGGAGGAGGAGGACGAGGAGGACGAGGAGGAGGAAGAGGAGGAGGAGGAGGAGGAGGAGCAGCAGCAGAAACCTGACCAGGCAGCGCTTGGGCGACGAAAGGAAACGGGGTCGTCGTCACCGACATTGGAGCGCGAGCTGCCCGCGAAAGCGCGCGCGTGAGCGTCCTCGTTCCCAATGTAAAGTGCCGCGCTGGCGGCCCGCGCAAGCCTCCGCTTATGGTCGCTGCGCCATCTCGCGTAAATCGTGTTTTCGATCGTCGTTTACTTGCCGTGGCACCGCGCGTAGCGGTGGCAGCATCCCGATACCCCACCACTGCGCGCCTCTTCCCGATACTTCTCCAAGCTGTGCCTCTTCCCTTGTGCCCGCCCTCAGGCTTGGCCTTCCCTTGCCCCCTTGAGCCCCCTCCTCCTCCTCCCCCCTCCTCCTCCTCCTCCTCCTCCTCCTCCTCCTCCTCCTCCTCCTCCTCCTCCTCCTCCCCCTCCTCCCCCTCCTCCCCCTCCCCCTCCTCCTCGTCGTCGTCGTCCTCCTCCTCCTCCCATGTAATAGCTTGCCACCCATCGGTTTGGCCCTCAAGGGCGTCCTGGTTTGTTTTGCTGCTGTTGGGAACCGTCGTCGCCACCGCTGGATTCGCCCCGGAACCCTGGCCAGAACGCTCCCTGGGAGAGGTCTGGGGACTAGCGGTACGGTACCTTTTGGTCTCCCAAGCCTCTCCTTCTCTCTTTCTCTCCGTCTCGCTCTCCCTCCTGTCGGGGCCGTGCGGACACGGTCGAGGGCGCGTGGCGCGTGGATTCCCGACGGGCCCCGCTTCCATCCGAGCTCGGCGCGCTCCGTCGCCGAAGCAGGCGGCGCTGGCTTCGTGCTTCGCCCCGACCTGGCCCCAGGGGAACGAACAACGACGCAAACATTCCTCCCCCTACCCCCCCCTCCTCCTCCTCCTCCTCCTCCTCCTCCTTCTTCTCTCCTCCTCCTCCTCCTCCTCCTCCTCCTCCTCCTCCTCCTCCTCCTCCTCCTCCTCCTCCTCCTCCTCCTCCCCCTCCTCCTAAAAACTTGTAGGTCCGCGCGGATTTCTCCGATCCGCGCTGGACCCCCCTCCCCGGCGCGCTCCGCGAGCCAGGGGCGGCGCCGGAGGCGCTGCCAAGGGGGTCCGGCGCGGATCCGAGAAATGCGCGCGGACCTCCGAATTTTCATGCTTATGTCGTTGTTCGTTGCCCTAGGATCCGTAGCCCCTGCTAGCGCGTGCCCGATCGTGCGATCTGAGCGGCTCTGTCCTTTCCTCCGCTTCCTCCTCCCGCTCCGTCCGCCTTTGCCCCCGCCGGCGCCTGTACCGCTTTTTCGCACTTTGGCGCCCGCCGACCTACGAAGCAGGCAGGCGCGTACTGGTACAGAAGCCAGAACGAGAACAGGCAGTGCAAGGATGCTGCCCGGGCCCAGGGATCAGGCAACCCACTCAAGACGTGTCAGATCCTGGGCTCCGCAGCGCCGCTGTG